AACTATAATGTTCTTCCAATATAAAGTATAGATATATTTTAAATCACCTTTTCCCTCTCCCTTATTCATCTTGTATGCACTAAACTCTTAATTTAACGCCCTCAGTTTACACGTTTTCAGGTATAATATCTGATCAAACTTCAAGACATATCTATTGTATTTGAAAGAAACCCAGTGAGTTACATATTATTTATGTTGTTTATATTATCTATACAAGTTATGTAATTTGTGTCTATTCAGGTTATGAATAATTATGAACAATACAACTCAATTCAATCCAATCAATCAAATGTTTATTTTGGTCATTAGTGCAGCATAGAATAAAAGCAAGAAAAATTACACCTATTTCAATATATTACTATTTATTTTTATTATTTATTTATTTAATTAAATTTCTATACCGCCCTTCTCCAATAGGACTCAGGGCGGTGCACAGCCTAAGTAAAAACAGAGCATACAAAATTTAAAAACAGTATTAAAATAATTAAATATTTTGGCCGTAATTAAAACAACCCAATTTAAAATCAATTTAAAATTTAGCTCAAGCCAGCCCAGCTAGTTGAAATAAATAAGTTTTCAGGGCCCGACGAAAAATCCGGAGGTCTGTTATTATCCGTAACTCTGGGGGAAGGTTGTTCCAGAGGGTAGGCGCCGTCACAGAGAAGGCTCTCCCCCTGGGGGTCGCCAGCCGACATTGTCTGGCGGACGGCACCCTGAGGAGGCCCACTCTGTGCGAGCGTACTGGCCGGTGGGAGGCTATTGGTGGCAGAAGGCGGTCTCATAAGTACCCCGGCCCTAAGCCATGGAGCGCTTTAAAGGTGGTCACCAACACCTTGAAGCGCACCCGGAAGACCACCGGGAGCCAGTGCAGCTCACGCAGGAGAGGTGTCACATGGGAGCGCCTCGTTGCCCCCATAATCCCCCGCGCGGCCGCGTTCTGGACCAGCTGGAGCCTCCGGGTGCACCCCAGGGGGAGCCCCATGTAGAGAGCATTGCAGTAGTCCAGGCGGGAAGTGACTAATGCCTGAGTGACTGTGCGTAGAGAGTCCCGATCTAGAAAGGGGCGCAACTGGCGTATCAGGCGAACCTGATAAAAAGCCCCCCTGGCCACGGCCGTCAAATGATCTTCTAGAGACAGCCGTGCGTCCAGGAGGACGCCCAAGTTGCAAGCCCTCTCCGTGGGGGCGAGTAATTCGCCCCCAATAGCCAGCGATGGCGTCAGCTGGCTATATCGGGACTATATAAAATTAGAATCCTAGCATATCTGTTTAAAATTTGTAATATTAAAAATAAGACTATAGACTGAAGGGTAACCTCTGAAAGACATAACAAAACAAATAAAGATATAGGCAAAATGAAATAGGATTTTTTTAGTAAGTTTATCTATGTTCAGTACGATTTATCTGTTTGTGAATTCTAACTGCTACTAAATAAATTTTAACTGCTGCCAAGCCAAATCTAGTCACATTGTATATTCTATAGTAAATAGTTCATCTGAGAGAAAATCAAGAAAAAAACTTTCATTATGGTATGTTAATGCTACACATGTCAAATAACAGAAGAATGAAAGTTTTCGATTGCATTGATAGGGATAGTGTTAAAGAACAGGTGTAATGGCCTTAATAGTACTAGCAAACAAGAATATTTTTAATGTCATTTTTATTAAAGATTTTTACATGAATAAAAATAAACATGAACAAAATATATATCTGATTAAAAAAAAGAGGAATTAAAGGGGGGAAAAGAGAAATGAAAGAGAAAAATGTACAAAAGAAAAAAATACTTAAAGCAGGGGTGTCACCTTAAACACGGCGGCATCACGTGATGTATCAGGACTTTTTCCCCCTTTGCTAAACTGGGCGTGGTCATGGCCAGCATGTGACGCATCCAGCCCGCAGGCCGGGAGTTTGGCAGCCCTGACTTAAAGAAACTCTTCCAAACTTCTTTGTAGCTGTTACAGAATTAGTATCACTCCTCCCCACATTAAGATTACATCACACAGTCCACTTCTACACATATTCAATCCATTTTTAATTGGCAAATTCAGAAACCATCAACAGTTTCAGCATAAAGTCCATAAAGGGTTTCCAATTTTTGTAAAGTACTTATTATCTTATCCCTGATTAAACAAGTCAATTTTATATTATTTTCTTTCGCGCAGTATTCTGTTCTTATTAATCCTTAGTTTACTATTAAGATATTGTTGTAGAACCTGGTTTCCTGCCTTCCTCCTGACAAGATGCCCAAAATGTATTTCTTAGTACATTAGTACATTAGTACTAAGTACATTAACTTAACTTTTCATTTCTTATGTTAATGCTATGCGGCTAGATGTTTAATTTATTTAATTATTTCCAAAATACTTTAAAGTAAACAATATGCCAAATTTAACTAATCCTTAATCTATTTTAAATTTTTATAATTTAAACTCTACACAAGTTTATCACTTTAGATTAGTTTTAAATCCTTATAATTATATTTCACTTTAATCTTGTCCCAAATCGTAGGAACACTCACTAGGTGATGTAGTTGCTCTGCAGTTTGGAAGATTTCTGTAGCTGAAAAAATAATTATATTCCAAAAGTGGGGTTTGGATTATGCCAGTGACTTTAAAGCAGGCCCCACCTGAGGCTGAGAAGTTCTCTAGCTCCTGCAGGTTTCCTCATGAGAATAAGTCTTCTAGAGAACACGTGGACAATCCCTAGGCTTTTCCCTATCCAGAAAAGTTCTGTTGATCTGAGCACACCATGCAATCACAGTCTTCACCTGAACAGTGTCTCCACTCCTCAGAGATTCATCAGCTCGCTATTTCCACACACACCCCACCTTCAAAATTTCTATGCAGACATGGTCTTATATGCCTGAGACTCTGTAAATCTCCCATTAAGAGCTGTGGGGAGTAGCACATCAAACCTGGCTCTGAAAAGGCTCATTGTTCTACACGGGATGCTAAGGTAATTAAATATTTGCCCGGTTCCCATTTGGATCTAGTTATATGAGCTAGCAATGGCTGGAATATGGCTAACCTTATTCTAAAATTCTAGATCTAGGACCCTTTCTCTAATAATTCTTCTGGCCTGAGTACATTCCAAATGGAGTAGTTGCTCAAGTGCAAGTCATAATGGATATGTTTCTTCAGAATTCCTTGTTGCCATGAAGATTAAAATTGGTCTGTCGGGACCAATGGAATAAATTCTGATGGGAAAAAATTAGCATTTGAGCCAAGTGAGTTTTAAAAGCTGCACTGTTACTTCCACTTTTTGTTACCCAGTGTCAGTGTTCCAGAAAACCCCAACTCCAATTAAAACCTCCAAGGCAAGCATTTTCTCAAAATTCCATTTATTAGAATACTGGCACATCTGGGAAAACCCAAATCTGACAATTCTGGGTTTTCCCTCGGTAAATCAAAATCCCCAAATCCATCCCCTGCACCCATCAGTCCATCACATTGTCCAATCACCATCCGTCCCATCTTGAGATATCACTCCAACCACTCCTTCTCTAGTTGCAGGACTTCATGACCTTGACCGAAAAAAAGAATGCTATTTTATCTAACTACATTCCCTCTACTAAATCCCCCCTCCTACTTTCCCATACACAAGAAGGTGGCAGCGTGGAAGCTTCTGGTACTAATATGGCTTCCAAAGCCATGGAACAAATATGTCACCCAGCTTTATTTCTGAACATCAAATTGTTCACCATATTCTAGGTGTTTGATTTTTTAAAAATCCTGCCTATTCAGATTTAAAAGACATTAAGTTTTCATGAGTATCCCTTCCTTCCAATCGGTCTGTTGACTGGTTGTTTTTGCATATTTCAAACTGAAATATACCAAAGGTTTCGATAACAAAACTAGATCGGAGATTTCTTGTAAAAATTGGAAGAATTTGCTATACAATGCACAGTCATATGGAAATGGCTTATCCCACAATTATCCCAGGGTCATTTATTCCCTTTTCCTTTTCTAAAGTTGATTTCAGGGCAGTATGTCATGCAAACAAGCTCTATAATATTTTTCTTCCAATTAATAACAATGATAGTAACTTCATCAAATAAAATGATCCGATATGTAAAATAACTATTCCATGACTTAACAATTCTGTGCAGGAATAAAACCAAATACATGTTTGCTCCAAAAATAAGAATTGCAAAATACTGCCAGTCAGATTAAGACAGTGCACAGATTGATTCTGACTCTCAACACATCAAACAGTTTAAATTGTGTTTCATTTTCATTCAGAGAAATAAACTGAGATCTCCAGACCCCTCTCAACAATAGCCAGAAAATATGCTTAGATATCTGACAACAGCATTTGAAAGATATCCAACAGGAAGACCTCCTCCTCCTCCCTTCTCCTTTTATTTTTTTGTCGGAGTAAAATGAGCAACAGAGATGCCAAAAATCATCTTCATGTTATTCTTTTTGCTAAACTGCTTCAACAGTTTTGAAAGCTATAAAATGAAAAACACAATGATTGGTTTCTTTAAAAAAAAAGAAAAAGGAAGGGGAAAGGAAGGGAATATTACTATTTTTCTGAACAATTGGAATGGCATTAAATTTAGTAAATTACTCTACAAGTATGTAGTGTCTCAATAGATCAGTATTCAGAAAACTGAAATTTAGATATATTTTTATTCACTGTACATCTAATTTAGCAGCAGCCTGTCATCTCAACACTCTTAAATTCTGTCTCCTCACTTTCTCTCCAAAACCCAGCTCTTCTTTCAGACTATAAAACCTGATAGTTGTAATCACTTTACAATCATGGTGGAATTTAATCAGATCATGAAAATTTAAAATCTAATCCTTTATTAAATAGCAATGCCAGATTTGGTAGCCCAAGAAAATAAATACAATTATTTACATTATTAAAAATTGCAGATGCTTAGAATTTACATATTAGGCAACAATTGTCCAACAGTGGTTCAAACATTTAATCTTAAATATAGATTATTTTTTTCAATACATAAGAAAGAGGCAAAAAAAAAAAAAAACTTACCACCACCTCCTCCAAGAAGACTTGAATTAGCTGTGGGGGAAAAAAGCAAAAGAAACCAAAATTATATTTCCAAATAGCCAACCTTACAGCACATTCTTTTAGAACTATAGGAAAAATAACATTTTTACCCTGTTCGCTTTCTGCCTTGATACAAGTCTTTTAGGAATTCCAAAATGATGTACGAAGTAATATATTGCTTCTCTTCCAACCCAGCATGAAATGAAACCGATGTACTAAATTCATCTTATTAAAATCGCCCCGACCATCTTTTCCCGCAAAGCATGGTAGGACTTGTATTCTAACTACATCAAAACTTGCAGGGAGAAAAATGATTAAAGATTCCGTATCAGCCAAAAACCTTACATCAGGGCAGCCTCACAAATGGCAAATAATAAATGTAAACATAATAAAATATATCTGATAAACTCACACGTTTTCTATTTCTATTTAAGAACTATGACCTTCATACATGTGCATACACTCATAACACTAAAATATATATTTATTACAGCAGCATATATCATGATTTCACTTTCACTTCCATATTATTGTATACAAGAGTTTTTGGACATTTTAAATCATAATGTAATCCCTAAATATTCATAAAAATCTCAAACTGAAATTTTAAAGTATGACAACAGAGAAATATATGAGAAAACTACTGGAAACCAACTCTGTTAATAATACTATGAGTTAGTATAAGTATAGTATAGCATAATATAAAGTTACAACAGATGCATTTAATTTACCTATCCAATAAATCCCATTATACTAATAATCCCATTATTTAAAATAGTTGTATGTCAAGGACCTCAACAGAAATCAGAAGTGTAAATTTGCTGGACCTATCAACATCTATTTAAAAGGTAGACACTAGAGACCACACAGAGTTTAAGGAATCATGGTGACAGTGTCAGATAATGTAGCAAGATATTTTTCCAGAACTAATACTATGGGGGTACCTGGTAGATTTTGTTTGTCAATAGCATTATTACCCAGAACGTGTTGGAAGAAAAATCCAGTTCCAGTTCCAAGCCGGGAATAAAATAGAGGCTGATTGGAAAGAAAGTTGGTTTATTGATGAACAGAACCACCAACAGCATGTGATTCTGGGACAGCTGACAAAATGGAGTTGAGAGTGGGTGGGTTTTATACAGTGGTGAAATCCAATTTGTTTTACTACCAGTTCTGTGGGAGTGGCTTGGTGGGCATGGTGTGGTATGGTGGGTGTAGCTTGGTGGGTGTGGCAGTGGAAGGATACTGCAAAATCTCCATTCCCTCCCCACTCCTGGGGGAAGGTTATTGCAAAATCTCTATTCCCATCCCACTTTGGGGCCAGCAAGAGGGGGTATTTGCCGGTACTCCGAACTGCTCAAAATTTCCACTACCGGTTCTCCAGAAGCTGTCAGAACCAGCTGGATTTCACCCCTGGTTTTATATCTTCTTTGGGCTTTGTATTTGAGCTTCCTGTTCCTGTGTAAGAATATGTCCTTTAATATTCTAATGGATGTTGACAGATTTCTATGGGGTCATGACTAGCTCTATAGGCAGAAGGGAAAATGCAAATCCTAGGTGTTTGAGTTAATCTTGTCAACATAATTGTTTATCTGGAGTTTCTGTCTGGCCCAGTCTTTCTGAATGGATTACCAAATCTGCATTTCTATAAACTGACCTCCTCAGTTTCTGCTTGGGACAGGGAGACTGGTGCTGGTTTTGCCTCCCTCAAGATTTTTTTTTCATTTCTCCTTTAGGGGAAATATTCTATCCTGCCTTTTTAATATTCCCCACAATTTTTCATTCTCTAAGAGGGTGTGTGGGTGCTGACTTTCTACAAATGTCCTACAACATCTTGCATTATCATTGTCGGACTCAAGAACTCTCCTTAGATAAGGAAGAGATTCAGAAGACGCCTCCTAGAAACAGGGCACCTGCCAGGGATCAACCATGATACCAAGCCAACAACTGTTTCCACTGTTCCAGCCTTGGTTCTAGCAGAATGTGACCGAAACAGAGCTTTCCCAACCTGCTGTCAAAAACACTGATATCTAAAGAGAAACAGTGCCAAACAGAAAAGTGCTTGGCTTGACAAGAATGACCTGCTGAAGAAAGTCAGCCCTAATTAGGCCCAGTGAGTTCAGATGAGTCAGAGGCCATTGGTATTTAGGAAGCAATTTAAGCTTCGTAATTATGTTGGAGCAATGCCAATCCATGAAGGTCTCTGTAGATTTCTCTTCTAGAACTTCTAGCTGCCTTGACTTTTCTTTGAGATTTAACTTTTTATCTTTGAACTTTATCACTTTTGCTGCTTCTTGACGCACAATTTGCCTGGTTTGTTTGCTCATGATTGTTTGAAACCTGGAATAAATTTACAGTGTTGAGACTAACCAGGTGTATTTATTAAAACCTTAAACCATGTAAAAGACTACACTTTGCAAAACGATGAAAAAGGTTCAATAAAAACACAATCCCTAACTTCAGTCTTGCAACCCAACCAATACTGTTCAAAAGGAAAAAAAAGGATGAAGTAGAAAAATGGCTAGCCAAGCATTAACCTGGAAGCAAAAGTAAATCATTGTAGTACTGTTGCTAAGAAAACAATATGGATGCATCCATCAGAATTCAGGTTCATGTCCCGTCCCATCCCCCCCACACATATATAAATGCAGGTAGAAAGAGAGAAGCAACTTCCTGAAGTTGTTTTTTTCTTTGACAATCTATACAACCAGGGAATCTTGGCAGTTCCGACATATTCTTTAGGGGATGTGCAAATATTAGCACCTCTTTATTTCCTGGCCAGGGATGATAGTGAAAAGAAGCAAATTCTCTCCTACAGTTTTGCATTAGTGTCCTGATGTAAAAGATATGCTAAGGTATGCAGCTTCAAATACAGTTTAAGAAAACTTGGAAAATACTTATTTTTGTGGCAAAGAAAACATAACTGATTCTAACGGTTCCAATTTATTCATCAAATATTAAATTAACATTTGGGACAATGCAATTAAGCAAAGACAGATACAAACGGGGTAACATATAAAGAAAGTCCAAATTGTAATACTCGAAAGTGACAGATATGCAAATTATACAGAGACAGAATCATTCAACAGCTTTAGCAAAGCCTAGGCATGCCTTCCAACAAGAACATACAGTGCCAAACTCTTTATCTAAGACTATAATCCAAGCTCTCAGATATAACTGACAGGAAATTGGATTCTTACAAGCAGCAATCAAGCCCAAACACGAGTAATCATTTGGGTTAAAACTACATTGAGCAATGTAAGATGAAAAACAACAACAACAACCAGAAGTATTTGTACTAATGAAGCTAAAAGGGAAAGGGAAAAGAGAGATACTTAAAATATTAAGCTTTAAAACCACTAACAATAAGAAATAACTCAACCGTTTTAGAAAATGTCTCACAATGAATTACCAAACTTTGTTCTCCAAATCCACAATGCATAATTTTACAGGGAAATATTGCAATGGGTCAATCTATATTTTAAAAAAATGTCACCATGTCTGAATCAAGGTTGCCCCTCTGAAACTGGGAGACTTTCTTCCACTGGTGATGGAAGCAATGCCAATGGAACAAGACAGTAGGCCAATTATTTTCACCTTCCATTCCTTTATTTTGCATAAATCAGAATAAGTCTGTACAAATCATGTTAGCAAAAGTGCCCTCTTGAATCCATTCTTCAGTAAAACAGAAGAACTGCAGCAGCTCAACTTGTATAGCTGCTTTGACATTAACCGAAGGATTTCTGAGCACTAGGGAAACTAGTGAAATAATGCAAATATAAAAAAGGAAGCTATTATAAGATAAATATGGTATATTTTTCACAGAACTATTTGACATTGTTTTTAAAATGCGTATAAATTGTCTAAACATTTATTTTGAATGTAAAGCATAAGGGAAATAGCGGAAAAATACTTCAAGAGCATTGCCTGTGTTACTGATAAATTATCAGTTTACTGTTCTGTACCTCCTTCACATTATCATCAAATGGCTTTTATCTTTTAGAAAAGAAAAGAAAAACATGTTACATTCCCAGCTTTGCCTTTAACCATCTACTTCCAAATGAAATGGTTCTATATCTGATGTCAAAAATAGTTTGTTTTTTTCAAAGGTAATATGAAATTTTAGAAGATTTCATCTCAGGAGAAATTGATACATAGTACAGTAGGAAAGGCCCTGGTAAATAAACATTTCATCCCTGTTTCTTCTTTGCTAGTGTATGTATCAGACTACCTCCAGCTAAAAAGAGGAAAAATCACATTCTCTTTTATTTTTTATTTTTTTTAAAGTTTGAGTCTATTTCTCCTGTAGGGGAAATATTCTATCCTCTCCAATAAGATTGGTCTATTTCCCCACAAAGGAGTAGAAAGGGCTGATTTCCCTGGTCACCTGTCTTAATGCTACACAATCAGAAAATGGTGCAATAGAATTTATTTCATTTTTATCACCTTTTTTCCTTTTACCTCCCAGTAAGATGAATGGGTTGTGGAAGTCCTGTCAGTCTTATATGTTGAGTTACAACATTCACTATCAAGCATTTTAGACCAAGGTAGGAAGTTAAACCCAGATAAGTGGATTCAAAGCACTTCTTGGAGAGGAGAATACTTACGCTTACAAAAGTCATTTAAAAAAATACAACACACTACTGTTGAGAAAATGATTAGAATCCATACTCTATGTTTAACATTCAAAAGACGTATTTCCTATTTTCCCCTTGCAAACAATGTTTGATTTTTTAAAAAAAAACATTTTTATAAGACTAGAAATCTAAAGATAGCAACAGTATTCTAAATAAATATTTTTAAAAAGAATATATTTTATTACATTCAGAAAAGAGGAGTGTCGGCTTCAGGGAATAAAGTATGGAGGTACACAATTTTCTTGTCTCTCGTATCCAAATATAGTGACATATCACCACTTGACTAGAGAGTAAATATAGCAATTCTAACTTCCATCTCCAGGTTTATCCCTGATTAACTGTAGACTCTTAAATTCCAAATATAAAGAGCATAATGAT